CGGGAAAACAGGAAGCTATAATCTCTGCTCTCCTGGTGAGGATGGGGGCTGTTCAGGGTCGGGTGATGCTCCCTCCCATGGGAGTAAGGACAGGAAGCAGAGTTGATGGACTGAAAGGAAGGAATCAGGTGGTGCCTGTGGACTCTGGCTGCAGTCGCTGCCTCAGCAAAACACACATTGTGAAAGTAGGAGAATCGGAGTGAGCTGAGAGAAAAGTTCGGTACCTGTTTCTCCTGGGTGGAGTGGAGGCAGCAACAGAGAGGTTTTGGGGAAACGGATGATGGGAAGAATACCTGGGAAAGAAACCATATGCCTTGGCCACCAAGGGGACCAATGGGACTGATGTGGCAGTGACAGACCAATGGGGGAAGCTGGTGACATAGCTGCAATGCCAATGACCTTGGGAGGTCGAATCTTTTGCAGAAGGGCACAGTGAAAAGTATGAGGGAAAAGCAAGCATCTGTGAGATGCTCCCAAAAAGAAGCCACAGTGTATGGCTTGAAAGTCCCAAAGTCTCAGCCTGTGGTGCAAACCTGTCCATTTTACAATGACAAGCTTGGAACGGCTATTTTGATGAATCTCAGAGCCCATTTACATGGCTTATGATTGCAAAACAAATGAACATTTCAAATTTAAGGGGCAGCCAATGTAAACTCATTGTGGACAGCACATGCCAAATTATGCATTTATCATGCTGAAAAATGTATTCACAGGATACTGTCTCTAGGCAAAGTTCACTTGTGTGTGTGTGTGTGTGTGTGTGTGTGTGTATTCCTAGCTGAGACAACACTGAAAATCTATTTGCCCCTTTAGCAAGCATTTATTTGGCAGGCTTAATAGGAGAAAGAACAGCTAAGATATCCATTGCCAAAACTTGTGAAAGTAGGCAGAGGTGGGGAAAGATACAGGCAGAGAGAAAGAACTCAGAAAAAGGAACAGAGGTAACAATTGTAACAACCTTATCAAAATATTAGGAGAAAGCAGTAAAAGAGACCATTGCCCTAAAGTAGCATTCAAATCAATACATCTAACTCAAGGAAGGAGTAAATAGAATAAATGGTGACAACAAAAACAACAAAAATTAGCTGCTGAAATAAAGCCGAGAATAAGAACAAAAGAAATTACTAAGCAAAGGTATCCAAAGAATAATAAATATGGATGCCTAAGCTGACAAGCGTATGCCCATTTAACAGGGAGAGCACATTACTGAATACGATGCAAATTTCTAATACTGTCAGCTTATTTTAAAGAAGTTATGTCAAAATGGGTGACTGTAGAGCAACTACTTTATGGCCAAGTAGCATCCAGAACAGCAATATAACAGCTGAAATTCCCATCACGCCGACTTGATGAGGAGTAGCTCCTACTGAATACCTGGGCTTCCAACGCACACTTAACAGGAAGTGAGGCTTACTGAGTACAATGAGACATACTCCTCACTAAACATGCATAGGTTTGCACCTGGAGTACGAAAGTGAAGAGGGGAACCAAACAGCAGCTTTGTTAGAAGAGTGGCTGGGTGGAAACCTGCTCTTCCTCACCCTTACTCCTATGTCCCAAGGCTACTCAGGCTTCCCCAAAGTTGATGTCACACACCTAACACTTTTGTGGGTTTCTTGTAATTAACCAGGCTTTATTTCAAGAGTAGGTATTAGAAGTATGAAGTATCTAACAGGCAGTTCTTCAAGGTTATGCAGTTTCACACACAGCTCTCCTAGTCTTGGAGCTGTCAGACATCCATAAAATCTTGAAGCTGGTATGTGTTTTAGGAACACAATTTTCTTAGGCAGACATGGCCATTGGAGTGCATGGATTTCCAAAATAGCTGAAATATCAAGAGAGCAAGGACCCCAGGACAGTGTGCATGGGCACCATGACACCTGCAAGGGCCTCTGCTGGAGCCCACAAGGTCCTCCTCTCCCTCCTCCCTCCAGTTGTGTTGGATTATAACTCCTTATGGGCTAGGAATGATAAGAGTTGTAGTTAACACTGGACTGGAGAACACATGTTCTGTGAGGCAGCAATAGTCTTGAGAAATAAACATTTGTTCAGAATAATGTGTACCTGCTAACTATATACTCAATTTTGCAATAGTTCCCTACGTCCCCCCATCGTCTCCCTTCAGTCAATTTAATAATCCTTTAACCACAACCCTCCCATACTCTTTGACAAAACCTTTCCCTCATTCAAACAGAAGGACTTTTCTTTAGTATAAAGATAGCTATTTAGCATTTCTTCCAGCAATAATTTGTTATTCAGCTTCACTGGCCTCACTTGAGTTTCTCTCCAATACCAGTCTGTAGGCTCATGAGTTATCTCTCCGTGGCTCCTTTACCTTGCTCTTCCTGTACTCCTTGATCTTAATCCCCTCTCCCCCAGCTTCTAGCTTTGTTTAGTTCTCTCCTCACCTTTTCATCTCATTGCTTCTTTCCACCCCTGCATCTTTCCCCTCTACCCCTTGCCCTGCTGTTTTCCCCTTCCAGCGTCTAGCTTCATTCTAAATCCCTCCCTTTATCTTACTTTAGCCTAACCAGGCCTTATGGCAGCTATTATGTCTCAAAATTGGATCCCTGCAATGCACTCTATGTGGAGCTGCCCTCAAAAACTGTTCAGACACTGCAGCATGTGCAAAATTAATAACTCGGACCAGAAAGGCTGAACACATACTTCCAGTTCTTTATTGGCTGCCATATGTTTTTGATCCCAATTCAAAAAGTTGGTCTTCACTTATGGCCCCAAGCTGTGTAAGTCTTCTAATACCTGCTGGAATGCCACTCACAAGTACAATCTATCTGGACACCACAATCAAGATTTGGGGCCTGCCTCTGACTGCCACCTCCAAGGGAGTCTTGACCGGAGGCAACAAGAAGCAGGGCCTTCTCAGTTGTAGGCCTCTGTTCCATGACAAGCTCTCCACTGAATCTTCCCTGGCACCAGTGTGTTTTTAGCACCAGGTTAAGACTATCTTCTATGATGAGACATTTAATTAGTTTTATATTATATTGGGACATTATGTCTACTGCTTAATGCGTCTTGTGATTTAATTTTGTAAGCGTGTTAAATTTGGCTTTTAAGCTTTGCATTGTGTTTTTATGATGCTTTTATTGCTATTTTGTATTTCTGATTGCATTTTATCTGCTGTTGTAAACTACCCAGAGAACTTTGGCTGCTGGGAGGTATAGCATGATAAGTATCATCATCATCCTCAACAACCAGGCTTTCACAGGTGCCAGTTTCTGGTGGTGCCCACAGCATTTTCTTAAATTCCCAAATGTGCCCATAGATCAAAAATGGTTGAAGACCCTGGAATATGGATGTGTGATTAACTCAGGCATGAACACAAGTAAAAAGTTCATTCTGGTAGCCAAACATATAGGAGTTTAAGTCCTGGTGGTTAGAAGAACTACTGCTAGTCATTGGTGACCACCTGTATATATTAGTAGATACAACGCTAGGCTAGGAGCAGGTAGGCCCATGTTCAAAGCCTTGATCAGCTGCTAAGTTCCCTGCACACTTGGTCTCTCACTGCCTCTACTCACCATCACTATTCACATTTCTCTTTACAGTACCTGATATAATCAAGCGCTGGACTCTTCTTTAATGCCAACACCAGGCAAGCTTGTTCACAAGACCGAGGCAACCACCTGACTTCCCCAAGACATATACCCAGCCCAGCCTGGCCTCTCTTATCTGCCTATCTGACATTTGGTGGCCTTGGGGAGGTGTGTCATGACCTCAGACTTGTCCCAGACAGAGACAGTCCTGCCTACTAATCCAGTCACTTGTGGAACTGCAGCAGACATGCACTTACTGGCTTCCATTAGCTTCTTACACTTTCCAGTCCATGTACTTCCTCTTAATATACGGGGAAGGTAATAGTGGGAAAAGGCCTAAATTCTCACATGCAGGGATTAAAATGGTATATTCAGGCAAACACATTTAAAATACAGGCACTGGTAACCTCAAGACTCAAATTACTGTCTGCACTGCATGTGGGGCTACACTTCAGCTTGGTCTGGAAGTTGCAGCTGCTGCACAATGCAGTGGAAAGTTCTCAGCTGGGGCTTTTCTCACACCAAGCTGCAAATTTGCTAGAACTGTACTTGCTACTAAAGAGCTACTGGGCCAAGTTTCAGTTGTTGTTAACAAATAAAGATCTTAATAAGTTGGGACCAGGTTACCTTAGGGAGAGTCTTACTCCTTCTTAGTGGGAACATGAATCTTTTATTTTTTGTCAGGATAGGCAGAGAACCAATCTGTTCATACTGATGCCTTCTCTAAATTATCATTTATTTTATTTCTAAGCTGCTTGAAGCTCTGTGGGCAGTTTACAACAACAAAGTGGCCACTGCAGTGTTATGTGCAGAAAGATCCTTTCTTGCCACTTTAAGATATGAACCTTGCACGTTTTTACTTCTGCTTGCATGGTATCTGAGAAGGCAGAAGTGGTTTATGAAAAGTGTTCTCCATTTGGCTTAGCTCAAAGTGGCAGTCAGGCAGACAGGGAAAGCAGCCCCTTATTTTACAGAATGCTTGCCCTAGTAAAAGGTCAAACTTAGCTTTCCTGAATTCATTCTAGGTGGAGGTTCCTACAAATGTCATTCAGATTAAAACCTAGCCAGAAGTGAGCACTCTAATAATGATAACAAACTGCTCCCAAATTAAAAAAGAGGAGAAAAAGCTGAGATTAATCAGAAGAGTATGCAGCCTTCTGTCAGATGCAGAAGAAAAACAGATAAAATTGTTCTACAACTGCTCTTTACATCTAACCAAACCAATCTCCTTCTTAAAACAAACATTTTCATTTCTTCCAACTTCACAGCCTCAATCAATATGCCTGTCTCAGAGGTTTTTATTTTATATAAAATTACACTTACTGAACAGTCCTATTTGCAATACAAAATTTGAAGAGAAAAATCAACACTGACGTTGCAACAAAGCATTTACCACATTTTGGCCTCGGCTATAATGAAAAACGGGTGAGTAAATAAACTGGGTACCATAAAACGTCAGCTGGCCTCTGGCCACATTCTTCCCTCGCACATTTTCAGCCACACATTCATATAGGCCAGCATCTTCCTGTTGAAAGTTTGGGATTTCAAGAATGCTGCTTGATTTGTGCCTCCGAGCTTTTTTGGGAATTTGTTTTCCATCTGCTCTTCTCCAGCTGATTGTAGGAACTGGGCTGTTTATCAAAAAACAAAAGGAAAAAGAAATCTGATGGTAAAAGTTGCATTATTTTAATTGGAAGGCTATATAGGTGGAGAAAGGTACACACACCCAGAGAGAATTTTAAAGCAAAACTGCTTTCATACTCAGAACTTACACCTTCAAGTTACTGCCTAGTAACCTACACCTTTACTGCTTAAGTCATGGGGTCATGAAGACTCAGGCACGACTTTGCGACTGAACAACAACACAAGCTCTTTCAAAGAAGCCTGTATGTTCTAAGACTGCTTTCTCCAACTTGTACCTCCAGATGTGTTGGATTATAACATTTCTTATTGGCTAGGAATGATAAGAGTTGTAGTGCAACACTAGATTGGTGAACACAATAGTAGTGATAGTCTTGAGGAATAAACATTTGTTCAGAATAATGTGTACCTGCTAACTATACACTCAATTTTGCAATACTTCCCTACCTTCCCTCATCATTTCCCTTCAGTCAATTTAATCATCCTTTAGCCACAAACCTCCCATACTCTTGGGCAAAACTTTTCCCTCATTCAAACAGAACGACTTTTCTTTAGAATAAAGATAGCTATTTAGCATTTCTTCCAGCAATAATTTCTTACTCAGCTTCACTGACCTAAAGTAAAAGCTAGAGCACATGAAACATAGCCATCAGCTGGCAGTTTAAATGCACCCAAACTGAAGGTAGTTGATTGTAATGGAAAAATAAGGATAGGGTGTGAGCATGCACCTTCCATGCTTTGACAATCTAGTGGCTGGGAAATCATGTTAAAGAATCTTGAAAATGCTGCTTCAAATTTGCTTTTGCTTTTCCTTTAAAAACAAATACCTGTATAAGTTGTCACCATCACATACTCATCCATTAACTATACACTAGTTCTTAAACATTCAAATAATTAATTGTTGAATCTGAGCAGTGTGTAATTTTTTTTTATTATTATTATTATTATAACATTTCTATGCCGCCCCTTGCCGAAACCTCGGGGCGGCTTACAACATGATAAAATACATGGAAATACAATAGTACATAATAAATTACCATTAAATATAAAAATACAAAAAATACATTGATTTACAAATACAAAATTAAAATTATCAGTGTAAAATAAAAATATAGGATGAGAAAGAGAAGGAAGAAGAAGTTGCCCAGGCCAGATCATATGTTTTAACAATTGAAATGATGTTTAAATAAAAAGGTCTTTACCTGGCGCCGAAAAACCAGTAACGACGGTGCCAGGCGGACCTCTTTGGGGAGTGAATTCCATAGGTTGGGCGCCACCGCAGAGAAAGCCCTCCTCCGGGTACTTACTCTCCTAATTTCTTTCATGGAGGGTTCCCGGAGAAGGGACTCTCCCGCAGATCTCAAAGGGCGGTCGGGCATATACGGACGTAAGCGCTCGTTCAGGTAGCCAGGACCCAAGCCGTTTAGGGCTTTGTAGGTCATAATCAACACCTTGAATTGGGCCCGGGCTTCAATGGGAAGCCAGTGAAGCTGACGGAGGACTGGAGTCATGTGAGCATAACGCCCCGTCCCCGTCAGCAACCTGGCAGCTCTATTTTGCACCAATTTTGTGCCTACAATCAGCTTAAAAATTTATGAAGAATACAGGAAGAAGCTTCCTGTAGCAAACCTGAGGTCTATCTGGGCCAATATAGCAGCTGCTGTGAAAAAAATACCGGGGAGAGAATCCTCTAGTTGCTGGACTAGCCATAATGGACCAGGTAGACCTCTGGTTTGTTGTTATAGAAAGTTGACTTAAAATGAATGGAGCTACTTATGTACATGATAACTGTGACTAGAGTTTGATTTGCTTTAAAATGGAAAGCAGAAGAAAGTTAATTACTGAAGACTGGGATAATAAGTTAGTTGATTACGTAGCTATGGTAAGACTAACTATATAGAAAGATAACCAGTCAAAGAAAAGGATAGTTGGAAATTGCATTATACATATCATCTTTTAACGGAGAAAATAACAACAGAAAAAATAGGTAAAAATGGATTAGAAGTTTTTAGGAAATTGTATAAGATTAGAAGACTCTATGATGAAATTTAATTCAGTGCAAAAATAGTGATTGTGTAGCAAGGATAGTTATTGTTGACTTACAGCAATTTTCCTTAAATATTTGATATTTTAGGTAACATTTGTTCAAGAACCCATGGTGGGGTTTTTGGTAACTTTTATTTGTATTCTTATTTTTTCTTTCTTTTTTCTCTGTTCTTTCAATTTTCCTGTTATTTAAATAAATTCTCTCCCCACCCCAGTGTGCCAAAAAACCCAAAAACAAACAAACCTGGAAGCACATGTTTTCAATTACTATACCAGAGCTGTCCACCATACTCCAAATCTATGCCACAGATTTATATAATGACATTATGAAACTTCCTTTATATTAAATTCCTTTTCTACTAAGTCCTAATATATAATTTTCCCTTTTCACTGCTGCGGAAGCAGACTGAGTTGACATTTTCAAAAGTAATTCATTAAGTCCATGAAAATTGTTTCATGCAATCAACTTGGATGCTATCAGTGAATATGTTTAGTCATGAGCTATGTGGCTTTTCCTGATGCAAACCATGCCTATGCATCAAATGGCATCAGTAACTTTCCTTACTAAGCAGACAGAAATAAGCAAACTGACTGTGTGTTTGAAGCAACATTTGTACTTTCAAATAGCACTGAGATATTAACAATCCACCAAATGCAACCGTTCATTTAAAAGAGGTCTGACCGTGCACTGGGAGCCAACAGGTGGTTGTGGAAATAATGGCGATTGTACAAAACAAAGTGGCCGCATTTTGGCAGATTATGCACTAACGCCGCAAACTGTATCAGTACAGGTGAATGAGTGAAAGGCAAAAACTTACTTTCCCAATGCAAAACACTCCAGTCTCACAGTTGTTCCTTTTGCAGATGGAACCATTTCTGGGAACTGCACTTCAATTTTTGGCTCGTATTCACCCATCACTCCTGTGAACATATAATAGATGCTAAATTGGCTTGAATTTTGCATTACATATCCTCAAGTATTCCTGAGTTAACCCAGGGCTGTTTTATACATCATTATGTGCCCAATTAATCTGTTCATTTCAAACAGGACCCCGTCTCCAGCAGCCGCACACCATGGGCTCCCTGTCCCATTTACTGCCAGAAGAAACGTTGTTTTGCTGCTCTCAGCCATCTGCCTAAGATTACATCTCATCCTGGCTCCTTGGTTTTCATTTTTGTACATTGTTCTTGTGAAAAGGAAAGTGCTAATAAAGTATAATCAATGCCTTTTGGAGAAAGTAGTGTAGAACAAACAACTGTTGCAAAAACTGTTGATAAAGCACTATGGGCTAATCAAAGCTCCTATTAACATTAAGGCAGAATATTCTTTGAGGTGCTATACTGGTGGAGTAGTTTCCTTAACTTTCACTGCCTAAGTAAATCACCCAGAATACTGGTTTTAAAAAAATAAGCTGTATTTGAAAATTGGAATGCAGAAAGTGCTATAATGTTTATGATAAATTAACACATTTCTTGCAAACCAAGAAGCTTCTATACATGTTTAATATGATTTCCTGGAGAGTATTCACAGTCAAACACACAAGCATGGTTTTATATCTTAATCCTTTTATTACTATAATCTTTATCCAGCTATAGTAAGAGTAGAGGGTTAGAGAAGACATTTGGAAAACCTGCAGTTATAAGAAGGTAATCATTGCATGTGCATTAGATTCAAAATGTGTGTTAATTAGATTCAGTGCTACCACTTCAGGTATACAGTGCAGTGGCCAGTTGGATACCTGCAGCTTGGTTTCTGATTTACTATTACAGGTAGCATCTGACCATGCCTCTGTCAGTGGCCAGCTTATTGCCCAGAGTGGACATTTATTTATATATTTAAGGTTTTATATGCTGTTTGTTTAGCCAGAGACTCTTCTAAAAGTTTACAACAGGAGTAAAAGAAAACCAATACCATAAAACAATCAAGTAAAAACATAAATCGATTATCCCAGGCAATCCAGTGGTAATAGAAAATATAACATAAAATGACATATGATAAAAAATACTGGGAAAGTAACAAAGATTTTAGTTACTGGTGACAAAAAGTGTAAAGAGTCATTGCCTGGCACACTTCTTGCAGGAGCTGATTCCACAATCAGGACACCACAACCAAACAGGCCCTTCCCCTTGTGGCCACCTTCTTTTAAAGGTAGCTTGTGGAAAAGGACTGCAATGGATGTTCCTATGGTCTGGGTAGGTGTGTGTGGGAGGCAATATTCCTTTAGATATCCAGGCCCCAAGTCATTTTGGGATTTATATATCAATGTAAGCACCTTAAAGTGGAGCCGCACTTCAACTGGTAATCAATGTAAACAATAAGGGACTAGCATTATATGATCTTGGCTGCCAGTCCCTGCTAGCAGATGAACTGCCCTACTCTGTACCAACTGAAGTATCTGGACCATTTTCAAGGGCAGCCCCATGTAGTTACAATAGTTCAGACATATGGTTACCAGGGCATGGATAACTGTTGCTAGGTTCTGTCTGCCAGGTAAAGACACAGCTGATATATCAGTCAAAGCTGACAGATGGCGCCCCTGGCCACAGAACCCACCTGGCACTCAGAGATAGCTCTGGATCTAGGAGCACTCCCAAACTCCAAACCTTGTCCTTTAGGGGGAGTGCAACCCCATCCTGAACAAGGCGGATATCATCTACCTAGACAGAAGACCCACCTATCTTATCTGGATTAAGCTTCAATTTATTTGTCCTCATCCCATCCATCACCCCACTCACACACTGGTTCAAAATGGTCAAGCCCTCACTTGAATTAGATGAAAATGAGAGGCACTGATGACGCTTCAGCCCAAACTTCCAGATAACCTCTCCCAGAAGTTTCATGTAAATGTTGAACAGCATGGGGGATAAAATGGAACCCTGTGGTACTTGTAAATGCCATGGCACAGAGCCACAATCCCCCAGCACAAATCTCTGGAACTGGCAAGTCAGGTAGGAGCAGAACCACTGCAAAGCAGTGCCAGAAGGATATCATGGTCAATGGTATGAAAAGACTCTGAGAGGTCCAGGAGAATCAGCAGGGATGCACTCCTTTCTTTCTCCTGTCTCCTGGCAGCGGAAAAACCCACAGGGCAACCAAGGCAGTTTCTGTTTGGAAAGCACGTCTAAAGCCAGAATAAAATGGATCCAGATGGCCTGCTTTCTCCAAGAGCACCTGGAGCTGCCCAGCCACCACCTGCTTGAGCACCATGCTCAAAAAAGGAAGGTTGGCCACTGACCTATAGTTGTTACTATCCTCTGGTTCAGGCTTGCCTACTTCAAGAGAGATGTGACTATCACATCTTTTAAAGGAGCCAAGACTAGCCCCTCCTTCAGAGAGGTATTTACAGTCTCCTGGGTCCAGGCACTTATCCACTCCTTGGCTTGGATAATCAGCCATGAAGGGCAAGGGTCAAGTGGACAGGTGGTTGGCTGAACAGCTCCCAGAATTCTTGTCTACATCTTCAGGCCTTAGTCAAAGGAAATACATTAAACATGGAGTCCAATTTGTTTCATTATGACAGAGGTTTATCTCCTGTTTGCTGTTCCTTGCCTTTTAGATAACCAGTCACATTTGCAGAAGCCTACTTCTCAGCTGAATGGAGGAGCAGAGAAAGTGCTAAACACACTTTATAGTTTGAGTGGAGAGGCAGAGATCATGTGCATGAGAGAGCTAAGAAGACTGTTTCCCCCAATTCCAGAATTGTTTTACATATTTTTTGGGGGGAGGGGGTTGTACTTATGAAGTCTCACCACTTGTATGTTACCTTCTCCACTTTGGTGCTTCTATGACAGTTGAAATATACAAGAAAATTGATATGGAAAGATTACGCATCATCATAATCAGTCTACTTCTATACCACACCCATAGCCCATATTGGACAGTTGAATATGTGTTCTTGTATACTTGCAAAAGTGTGGAAGGAAATTGAAAAGGAAAAAGACCCTAGTTGTGCAAATTTCAAGATCATTCCTCCACAAATCCAATTTGCTCAATGTGCCACCATTGAGAAATACCTTGGAATTTGCGTATTGCACCAGCATACTATAAAGCAAGTTGGCACCATTTCAGGAAACAGAATGAACTCTGTTATGATGAACTGGAAAAACTGATTGACTTTTAACTCCTGCAAGTGAAATTTTCAGAACCCATTTTGCAATAGGCTACAGAAGCTGCATCTTCAAGTGTGGTGCAAGGTGTGCTATCTCTTTACTAAGGCATATTTGACTTCACCATGTACTTGTACATAAAGCACACTTTGCAACAACACAATGACTCTCAAGTGCTCCATTAGTGAAAGGAAATTAAGCCTAGCAGTATCATCCCTACTATTTTCCAAATCTTGTGGAACTTTGGACCATGTATCAGTGCATTTAGAATTCAGTGATACTCAACAGATACTGACAGCTGTCCTATCCAATCCCTGAGATACTATCATGCCATGTCATTTGTAGTTTTATTCTTATTTTTCTACTGCCGGTATTCCTATGACTATAACAATGACAACTGCTGCTAGGGTTCCTGCTACTAAATATTTATAACAGTGCACTCGTTGCTCAACTGTACACAGAATGGAAATGTTCCCATGACCGCCAAGACAAGGATAAGAGTGAAAAGAAGACAGAAGCACTCTGGTAGGTGCAGGTAAATTAAACTAGAATGGATATTGTTATCTTACTTGAAGGAGGAAAGCAAGTAGACAAAGGAGGAAAGAATCCCCTTGATTTACTCTAGGGTGAAGTCTCCTCTAGCTATCCCATCCATAATCAATTTCCCAATTGAACATTTAAAGATCATCATTAACAGTTGGATGCAACCTCCTGTTGCTGCATCCAAGGATTTGTGGATTAGATGACATCCAGAGAAAGCATTAGAAGACACATGAGATCCCCTTGCAGAACAATATACAGCAAATGATCTTGTTCAAAGCAGCGGCTTTCCATGAGCTTCCCTCTTCCCTAATCTCTCCAGAGATATGCAGATACCTCACAAATCCAATGGACTTTAATGGAGATTTTCTGCCACAGATGGCAATACATCTGTAAGAGGCTCTCATCTTGCAATCACTTAATGGGAGGTCCAGATGACATCATCTTCAACTTATGAACCTATGTTTCTCCAACATTTCTTCCATCTTTTTCCCCCATGAAACCATTCCATTAACATATGTGAGTGTGTATGTGAGTACATGGAACTGAATAGCTGCATTATGTCTTTACGTCAGAGGAACCCTTCCTCTGGAAGGGCATTAAGTCTTTGCTGGTTAGGGAAATAAGAATTCCACTGTCTGCCTGAGGATCTTTCCTTCCCTGGAAATGTGACCAGCCTGCCTGTGTCCTGTGCTTCCCTGTTTGAGGCCTCCCACATATTCCTTACTACTCAAAAGATTTCCTGCAACTTTGGGGGGAAAAGTAGTTCAACTTTGGGGGGAAAAGCAGTTCTTGTATAGATTGAGACATAACAAGAAAACAGAATTTGGAATCCCTGTAATTTTCTCCTGTCCTTCCACTTCCATGTAAAGGAAATGTTTTATATTGTCTAGACATTCACATTTATCAGAATGATTCTGTACTAATGCTTCCAGCAATTCTACCTTTACTATTTGTTTTGCTTTAATACAATCAGGCTGGATCTTCTTTTTATTCACTTTGTTTCAAAGTCTCTCCTTCAGTAATAGAGAAAGCGCAGCTTCCACTTGAAGTCAGTTATCTAAACAAAACATGCAAAAGTTACTTATAGGAACTACATAAGAAGTCACCAGATAACACCTGTCACTGTCAGGGTGCAGTTTTTTTCCACAGGTTACCCAAAAGCAGCATAAGCTTTCCCAGCTTCTCCATATTTATAATTATATGGGCGGCTTATATACAATTACAAATTGTGAGCGGCTCACAAATATAATTATTAATTATATAATTATTTG